TTCACAAGATATTTGTTAAATTACACTGTAATTTTTTAAGTATTGACGTTTTTCAAGGTATAAGCTCATCCCGATGTTACACTCATCAAGACCTTTCATTTAAGTACCCACATCATTTTTTCATATATTTATATGTATTATATATATATGTATATATGAAAAATATATCAAAATGCATGTGGGTACTCAAATGAAAGCTCTTGATGAGTGTAACATCGGGATGAGCTTATATCTTTAAAAAAGTCAATAGTTAAGAAAATACAGTGCAATTTAACAAAGTCATTATTTAATAAAGCAAAATTTTATTTATTTATAGTTTACAAGTCACGACAGTCCCATAGTGACTGCAAGATTGCTATTATTATTACTAATTTATCAAAAAAGATTATGTATCTCATTATTAAATAAAATGAAAAATAAAAAATTTATTAAGATTTCTTTCTTGATAAAAGCTTCAAAATTTTTTTAAGTATTTTTTTTTTGTTTGTAAAAATTTTTTTTTATCAATTGTCTTTTAAAAAAAAACATTTTTAGATAGATAGGCTATAAAAAAAAATAATTTTTTTACTTTTTTGAAATAAATAACTTCCTTAAAAAAACTAGTATTGTATTTTTTATTAAAAAAAAAAAATTGATTCAAACGAGATAAAAAAATTTTATCAGGAAGATCTTGGATCTCTAAAGCGTGGGATCGAGAGCGTTCAGATACCAGCTGCCGCCCACTCGTGATTTTAGAACAGTTATTATTTTTTTATTTGAAAATTCGGCAGGTAATTATTATTGCGCCCACGGCTACCGAAAAATTTCGAACAAAAAATCTAGTAATAATAATAATAGTAGTAGGCTGTTTATAATTATAACCGCATTGCGAAACGAAAATATTTATCCTCTGTGCAATGACAGACATATTAAATAACTGATCGCAGAAATGTAATTTTCCACGAGCGGCACATCGAATCAACGATACGGAATAACGAGCATCTATTGAGTTTACCAGCTGTAGTGGCAGCTGTCGATGGCACGCGTCGCAAAACTCAGGTGAATCGCGATGCCCTGTTGCCATCCGATGCCATCTTTTTAACGAACTCATTACTTTTTAAATTATCTTTGCGTTTTACACTTTATTGAGCATGTGGGATAAAGTTTCATTGTGACAGTTCTCTCAAGTCCCTTCATCTGCAGTTTACACAATTGTTTTTTTTTTCTTTTTTCTCTATATATACTTCAATATCTGTTTAAAAACAACTAGTGAAATTTCACAACCTTCAGCTCAACTATTTCTTCAATTGAATCGATTTTGGTTCATCTGCCATTTTGTAATCATTCCTTTTTACTCCACAACCTCAAAAGAAGAATCTTATAACTTATAACCAAAATATCTCACGAAAAACTTCATCAATCTCTAAAATTATTTTTTTATCTCTTTCAGATTAGTTCAAATAACAACCCTACAAAAAAATCAATCCTTAAATCCTCGTAGTTTATTTGTAATAAACATTTTAGTGTTAAAACCGGGAGCTGAGTCTATCCGCCATATTGCCGCAAATAGAACGACGCGTTATATGAATTAAAATAAGGCGGGAAATTCAAAAATTGTCAATTATTGTAAAGTCAAATGAGTGCTAACTTTTTATAAAATTTATTAGAGTCTTGAGAAAAATTTTAAAGTATACTAATAATCTTATAATTTTTTTTTTATTTAGCTGAAATATTTTTTAGGGATCTATTTTAAAAAATCAGAAAATATAAATTAGTCGTTGATTTGACGTCCATCTTTATTGTTTATTAAATTAGACAAATTTGTAATTTTTAACAATGTAATCAGTTGTTTTCAGTACGGTGAAAAATTAAATAAAATAATTTTAATTATAGCAAGTAAAATAATAAATAATTAATTTAAACGTTCGTCAACACTATGTGTTTTGATGCATTTAAATGAACTATATGAATCAGATAATTTTTTAAAATTATTTATTATAGTATCTACTTTAATAATATAAATATTATAATTTTAAATTCAAAAAATGCTGATTAAAAATTTAATTTTTAATCATTAATCTTTAGGGAAGATCACTTGATTAAACTTATCAAAACTAAAAAATATAAATTCATATCTACTATTAAGTCTTATGCATGAACGTCAATAAAAAATTTACTTCGTATTTGTTGCGAAAAAGTTGCTTTGTTTTCAATATTCTTCATATAGGTTAGGTGTACGTCCATCATGATGTTAATACACCCGGTATCTTTATAAAAATACATTAAATAAATAAAATTCTTTGTGCAATCGATTTTAATTACCGAAACACAGATTATTATTGAAAATCGTCATTGTAGCCCTTTTAGTTTAATTACAATAAAAGAAATAAGTTCAAATACGGCAACCGAGAGCCGCAGCCATATTGGATATTTTGAAATAAGGATTCTTATGATGAAGCCCACCAGGTAGTGTTAAATACAAAAAAAGCTAACATAAATAGTTTTTAAAAAATTGCACCGTTGTTATTTTTTTTTTTGTATTCGGGTGATTTTTCTTCTCTAATTGTTTCTATTTCATAAACGTTCGAAATTAAAAAATATAAATTTATATTTACTATTAACTCTTACACAGAAAAGAAAACTTCTTGCACCAAAATTTTAAGGAAAACAAAAGTCATTTTGGAGCAAGAAGAAATTTTTTTGGCTCAAGAAACTTTGGCTTCATTCAAGAAATTTTCAATCTTCCTTAATACTTTCTTGAACCAAGAAAATTTACCCTCCAGTCAAGAATTTTTTTTTTTTCACAGAAAAAAAGGTTCATTTGAGCCAAGAAAATATTTTTCTTCCTAATCATTTTCTTGAGCGAAAAAAAAATTTTTCTTTGACACAAGAAATTTTACTTATTCCAACAAAATTAATTCTCTTGCTTTAAGAAATACGTATTTTGATCCAAGAAAATTTATTTAAGTCAAGAAAATCTTTTTGTTTTGAGAAAATTCAGCCTCTGGCTCCAAAAAATTTAGTTCTTGATAGAAGTAAATTTTTTTGACTTGAGAAAATTTCTCTCTTGCTCCAAAAATTAAATAACTCGATAGAAGAAAATTTTTATTAATATTTTTATTGATTAACATGTCAAATGGGAAGATCAAATAATATTGAATCATTTTTTTTCAAATATAAAAATTTATTGTATCAAGTATTTATGATAATTTGAATTAAGAAAAAATTATTTCCACCAAGAATAGAATTTCAAGAAAAATTTTCACTTCGGCCAACACAACTTCGGTCTTCCTTCAGGTATCTGAAAATTTTCATGAGTCAAGAATTTTGTTCTCCAGTCAAGAAATTTTTCTTTCTGTGCAGTGTACACATTAGGGTGGCGCAAAAAAACCGACTATTTTTTTTTTTTTGAGTCTCGAGTGAAAAAATGTTAGTTTTTGATGTTTTAAGAGCCCTCACCAAAGGACAGCTCAAAAAAAAAATTTTTAAGAGGTCACTCCAAATTTTTCAAAATTTCAAAAATCGTCAAAAATCAAATTGTTTTTTTTTAAATTTTTTTTTTCGTTACGGTATAATTTTATAGACTAAAAAAAAAAAATTTCTGAAAATTTCAGTTCAAAATTCGAATTTTGAAAGGTCCCTTTCAAAATTTAAATTTTGAACTGAAACTTTCAGAAACTTATTTTTTTTTTGGTCTATAAAATTATACCGTAACGAGAAAAAACAATTAAAAAAGAAAAAATTCGATTTTTGAAATTTTGAAAAATTTGGAGTGACCTCTTAAAAATTATTTTTTGAGCTGTCCTTTGGTGAGGGCTCTTAAAACATTAAAAACTTACATTTTTTCACTCGAATTTTTCACTAAAAAAAAAAATAG